GGGACGGGGAGAGAAAGGAAGATTAGCACAGGAACGAAAAAGGGAGGAGAGATTCACGTTGGATCGTCAGGATAAAATGAAAGAAAAAAACAGTTCACAAACAAGTACAATATACGACCTCGCGGAAGTCTCTGAGGGATGCCTCCTTGTCCCGCGCAAACATTTTTTCAGGCGATTGAACAATTACTCCTCCGAGCTCAAAATCCATCTGCGAACATTTCGACTCCTCGCCTTCATCCACATCGGCCTCCTCCATCATTGGCTTCGATCGTTCCGCTACCTCCTCCTCCTCCTCCTCTTCCTCCTCACTATCAATCAACTCTTCGACTCTGCCGAGATACGCTCCTCCAGCAAGATTCGATTGGGAATCATCTTTTAGTACGATTGAATCCCCACCTTCAGAATCAGTCAAGTCATCATCACGTTCACCATCGTCATCATCTGCGTCAGGCTCCTTCTCCACATCCACTAGTCCTGCGCTTGAAGGACAAGAGCCCCGATCACCCTGCTCCTCCATTTCCAGCTCCTTGTCTTCCTTCAACTGCTCCCCCTTCTCCCCCTTCCCCCCCTCCTCCTTCCCTTCCTCCGCCTCTTTCTCCTCTTTCACTTCCTCCTCCTTCAGCCCCTTCTCCCCCTCCATGTCTTGTCCCTCTTCTCGACGCTTTTCAGCAGCAGTGACTTCTGGCGCAGATGGTGAGAACGGGGACCACCCCTTAAATAAATTCAGCGCCATCGACCTACTACTCGATTCAACAATCAATCAGTCAATCAATCTAATTAATCAATTCGGTAATCAACACGCCCCTAAATAAATGAATTAATCAATAAATTTGAATTAATCAATAAATTTGAATAAATCAAAATCAATAATCCAATTAATATCCCCCCCTCTCTCTCTCTCTCTCTCACACACACACACACACATATGTGCCTGTCTCAGACACACACACACACAAACACCAACGTATGTAGGCGGTGTGCGTGTGTGCGAGAGGTGCGCTGGTGGATGTCAAACACCCATGCACGTCACCCGTTATCAGAGGACTACTGTGACGAACAGAGGTGCGAGCACTTGAAATGCAAATCGAAAGGAAAACGATCGGTGCAATTACGAATCGTGAACTGCGAGAGGAAACGAGATCCAGCGCAAGGTCAATCAACAGGTAGCTCTTCCTCCTCTGCCTAAAGCGAGGAAATAGCTTCGGCACCTAAGGCCAGATCACTGATCCAATCAGCAGACGGAGCAAAAACCGCGCGCGCGCACATCAAAGCTCCTACACACTACGAGGAGAAAAGGCGGCAAACGATCCGCGGCGTGCGGGCTTACTCGCACATCACCGCTCTTCACCGCTCTTCCTTCAACGGCGGACAGCTGCACCGAAATACAAATCGTCACACTACTGGATGAAATTTCCACCTCACCCCTCTCTCACCTCTCTCTCTCTCTCTCTCATGCGCACACACATCAGGAATTTCAATGCTGCATCTGTCCATCAGTGCGGACAAATGCATGTCAGAAAGTCCCACTGTCAGTAATTTTCCCCGACACGCTCGGTCAGTTCGTGCTCTCCGCGCACTGTCCTCGCCTTCGGCTCAGGGCATACTCACACTGTGACTTTTTCGACTGAGCTCTGGATGTGAATAAAGTCCGATGCATCCAGCTCTGGTCGCATTTCCAGTCAGATGCATTCTAGAAAGTGCTAGTGGGAGTATGCGCTGTCCTAGAGCAAGTACATGCACAAACCCCCTCTTGCTGCCTCTCCTCCCAAAATAACAGAAACGACCGTCTGAGCGACGTAGACTAAAACGACAGGCGCTACTCCGACTGGCACGATTTTTTCTTTTTTTCATTTTTTGGAAGACTGGCACGTTTTAGATAAACTGTGCTCTAAAAATAAAAAATAAATAAAAATAAAAAAAAGGAAAAGAAAAGAAAAGAGATTAAAAAAAAAAAAAAAAAAAGACCAAACTCCAGACGGGAAAACACTGAGTTCCGAAAAAAAAAAAAAAAAAAAAAAAAAAAACACTGACGTTACCGCCCCCACACACTCCAAGTAACTGGTTGAGTCGTGACTCCGGTTATTCAGTCACAGCTCTGGCGATATCGGATGCACCGGACCGCAACTGTGGCCAGATCCACTGCAGATAGTCCCTAGTTGTCTACTTTCTTTTTTCACAGCTTCTCTCTACTTACGAGACCGTACATTCAAGGCCGCCGGTCGCCGGTATTTCCCCCCCCCAAAAGAAAATCAGCGCCAGCATTCACAGGGTACACCGCACGGTTCGCCTCTGTACATCCGTGGTAATTCCCAACACCGTAAGGGCATAGTACTCGGTTCCCGCGGAACACTTCTCAACGTATCTGACCCGAATTAAGACCGTATTCATGCACCGCACGGTTCGCCCAGTACATCCGCGGTAATTCCCGACACACCTACCGTAAAGGAATACTCCCTTCCACGACTCCTCTGAAAGCATCTCAATTAAGACCGTATTTTTACGGGAAAATCAAAAAGAATTAAGACCGTATTCATTCCATAAAGACTCAGTACGACGTTCTAAGACCGTGAACCCCACCCGTGAGAACGCAACAGGGGTTAAAAAAAAAAAAAAAAAAAAAAAAAGAACGCAACCGGGGCGCGATGCACCGCACTAGAGCACGTAATACGTCATCTCGTTCGTCTATCCGTCCAGATACATCGCCCTCCTAGAGGTAACAATGATAGCGCAGCACCAACCCAAGCAGTGATGTATACTCTTTTCACCCAAAAAACAAACCGCGAGCAGATAGACAAGCGGGTGGATCACCGAAAAAAAAGAGCGGGTCGACAGAGAGGCAGGCAATCCGAAGCACGTAAGATCAGAGAAACCGATGAAAGTCGGAGACAACCTGGGGAAAATAGGAGACCACAGGCACAGGAACATACAATCAGGCATGCAAGCACACTTCCATGCAGGCAGACAATACAAGCAGGCATGCAAGCAGATATACGGAGACAGGGACAGACGAGCCGACGTTCATCCGTTTCTCTGCATGCTACAACGGAGAAAAAAAGAAACAAAACAAAACCCGGCGCCAATAAGCATGCGATACCAGGCAGGCAGAGAGCCAGGGACAGCCACGGATGACAAATGCTTGTTCCCCCCCCAAAAAAAATAAATAATAATAATAATAATAAATAAATAAATAAAAATAAAAATAAAAATAAATTACTTTGTTCTCCCTTTAAAAAAAGAACAAAAAAAACGGCAGCAATCGGGGACACGCAGGCAGTCGGATACGCAGACAGGTAGACACAGACACAACAGGGGACAGCCAGACAAGGAGACAGGCAGGCAGACAGACAGACAGACAGAACAGGCATAACGACACGAGACAGAGTCAAGCAGACTCAGATAGAACAGGCAGAAAGACGAGATTTTGTGAGATCCCCGGCCTCAACATGTTCTTTTTGGTAATATAATAGTTACGGTTTCCGAAAAAAAAAAAAAAAAAAAAAAAAAGGCAGACAGTCATAGTGGCAGTTTGAGAAGCAGGCAGAGAGATTGCCAGATTGCCAGACAGGCAAACTGTCAGAAGACAAACGGACAGACAGACAAACAGAAAGAAACATAATACCGGCAAACACAAAGGACACGTGAAAATAAATTATATATTAAAAAAAAAAACATGTACAGGCAGATAGCAGTGATGGAGAAGAAAGACGAACAGAGGGAGGAAGGACATGTACAGGGAGATAGCAAAGATAGAGAAGGAGGACGAACAGAGGGGGGAAAAAGGATATGTACAGGCAGATAGCAGTGATAGTGAAGAAAGACGAACCGAGGGGAAGAAAACACAGTAGAACAGAGTAGAAATCAAAGGAAACCAACGGGCCTAAGCTCAGTAGAAAGCAAAGGAAACCAACGGCCTAGCTCAGTTAGCACACCCAATGAATTGTTGGAGTACAGACCCAAGTTCGACTCCAGCTGCGATCAGATGAACGACATAAAATCATTCTGACTTACCTAGGGCCGGTCAGCTCAATGACGATATCTCAAGGCCGTCGCCCTTAACCAACAAAAAAAAAAACAAAGGAAAACTTAAAAATAGTAGAGCTTGATTCTATGATCTTAAATTGAGTTCTTAATTGGGAAAAAAAAAAAAAAAAGTGCAGATAAAAAAAAAAGAGCGGAGATAAAAGAAAAAAGAGGAACAGGGGGAAGAGTGCAAAGAAATTAAAAAAAAAAAAAAAAAAAAAAAAAAAAAAAACGAAACGAAATGACAAACACACAACCAGAAGCGAGCCCCACGGAGCTATGGCAGTGCGGCGCACATCAAGGGCCTCGCCACACCACTGTCGAAAGTAGTAAGATGCAACCATTGCTATTCATAGTAACGGATGCATTTCGCCCTCCTCCGCGGGAAGATGCATTCGTTCGTTTTTCATTTCGACGGTGGTGTGGGGAATGCATTTTGCCCTCCTCTGCGGGAAGATGCATTCGTTCGTTTTTCATTTCGACGGTGGTGTGGCGAGGCCCCAATCACACACTACTCACCGAACCTTCTGTTTGTCCGTAGATTTGGAGTACAATCTACGGACGCAACCGAGTGCCTGATACCATCATACCACATTAATACGTCGTCGTCTATAATTAGAAGACGGGGTGGGGGGAGGAGCGCGGGAAACTAACGCTCATCAATGATTAGCACTCTACGCGCGCGCGAAAGAGGAAAAGTATTCCTGCTTGTATCAACCAGCTATTACAGCTATAGTTTGATGTATCTGCCCGCGATTGAGGCCAGAGCTCAGTCGAAGAACTCCTTGTGCGAGTATGCCCTGATTCGATGATGATAGGCGGAAGTCCTGCCGGGCAATTCCGCTCTACGTCATGTGCAGAGATCGTGTGTGCGAGGGCATGCAACGCACTAAGAAAATTCAATCTGTCTGAAATAATAGCCGTAAATGTGGGTTCGATACATTAACTAAGGTCTCCGTGTGAACACGCCATCTCCCACACCAATCACTTTTCTAGTAGGCTCAAGTACTTGGATAGCTTGCACTATACCTACATCGAGTCTATTAATAGTCCCCATACTAATCACAATAGCTCGCACTATACCTGCATCGAGTCTATTCAAATTCAACGTTGCATACCGTGATGGGGGGGGGGAAAAAAAAAAAAAAAAAAAAAAAGTTACATAAGAGATTAAAAAAAAAAATACCGACTTCTTCGAGCAGACAGATTCATCGACAACTATGCGTCCAGGTCAAGAGCAAGAGCGCACACTTTTCTTGGGGGGAAAAAAAAAAGAGCGCACGCTTTTTTTTGGAAGAAATAGAAAAGAAAAGCGCACGGTCGTTCACAGATCCGCAGCACAAGCTGGCGGAAGCGGACATCGGACCCCGCTCCACTACTCACCACATGCACAAAAGACAAAACAAATGGCGGTGTATCTTCCCATGTTCAAGCGGAAGATTCATTCTCATTTTGCACATTTGCTGAGTAGTACAGCGAGGCCAATCCTCGCTCCAACTCCCTCACTCTCCTCTTCAACCTCTGCATCACCCTTCCCTCCACCTCTCACCAAATGCCGACCGGATTCATGCGGACAGGATTGTACTTCCAGCATAACTATCAAACTATCAAACTAGTATATTACAGTAATTAGTTCCTGAAAATAGAGTGAAGCGCGCCGCGTTTCCCCTTCGTCCTTTCCTTCGCAGAGGACAACCAACTCACCGGAGATCAGAGACAACAGAAGAGAAGAGGAGACGAAGAGCGCCGGGTAGACAGAGCGCCGAGTGGTGCGGGAGAGGAGCAGGCGCTCTCGGCGGTTTTCAGATCGCTGAGCGTACAGCATTCCAGTGCGCATGCCCACGACAAAAGAAATGGAAAAGCAAAGAACAATGATTTTGTCTTTTACCACTCAGAGTTGGAGGAAGAGCACTGATTACTGCCCGCTGCGCGCCAAGCCTGATTTGTCGATGGTGACACCTCGGGAGCAGGACGTTCGTCGGCTTCCTCTTCTTCTTCACCTCCTCTCCGCGATACACTCTGCGCGTTCTCCCACAGAGACAGCACCGCCTGCTCTACCTTCGTTTTTCCTTATTAGCCGCTCTCTCTCGTACTCAATACTCAAAGGGCTCTGAACAGCGGAGGAGGGACTCTTATTATTAACACGGTCCTGGCAGAGCAGCGCGCTGCACTGTGGTTCAGTGGTCGTCGTCGTCTTCCTTTCCCTGCGCTTTGCACTTCGCGTTTCGCGCGCCGGCTGACTGACGATGATTGTCTTACCCTTCTTCTCCCTTTTACCTTGCCCCCTCCCTTTCGTCCCTCCTGGCTGGCGGGACGATTACTCCGCTTCTTTTTTTTTCGCCCGCTCCTCCGACTGCAAACCCCGAAATGCTTTTGCCTGCATGCCTGCCTGCCTGCGCGCCTGCGCGCCTGCACTGCCTCTCCCCCCACCGAACCCACGCACCGCTACCGGTAGTCGTCCTCGTCCCGCCGATTCACCACCAGCGCGGCTTTTCGAGAACAAAAAGCTGGACACCGCTGCACAGCCCAGAAAATCCGCTGGTAGCGCAAAATGCGTTGGGCCGGTATTCTCTCATGAGGCTCAACTATTGCTGCTTGATTTCCCAAGAAGGTCATGCGCTCAGTGTTTTGTCCATTTCCGATTTTCTTCAGTCTTGGGACGCCCCAAGTCCCGCCGTCGTGCTGCTCATTCCTCTTGTTTCCACCCCACCCGACACACCGTAACCCTTCCACCACCCTACGAGCACAGCCGACTCCCTGGAAAACGACGACATGTGCTCGTCTTCTCCTCAAGAGATTTTTATTTTACACACCGTATCCCTTCCACCACCCTACGAGCACAGCCGACTCCCTGGAAAACGACGACATGTGCTCGGCTTCTCCTCAAGAGATTTTTATTTTCATTTTTTTTTGTATAAAAAGCTATATTCTTCTCTCGATTTTTTTTTATTTTTTATTTTTTACATCTTCTCTCTATTTCACCTCACACTACCTACCTACCACTATTTTTTACTTCTTTTTTTTTTTCCAAACCATTGAGTCATTCATTGCCAAAAAGTTTTTGAAGCTCTCTGGACGGTTAGCGCATAGCTGCGCCGTTCCGAACCGGCGCTTGGCCGGAGCCCGAGTTAGGACCTCCGGGCCACTGCTTCGTCGCCATCTCCACCATCGCCGACGGTGAAGCGGGAGCCGGTACAAGCACGTCACATCACGTGCACCGCGCAAGCGGAAAGGGTTCTGTCGAAGCAGCCCTACAATTCAGTATTAGCCAAGAGGAACGACTGGTTCTCATGCGTTGGATTTTATCATTAAAGCTCGGAGCTACGCTGCGTGCCCTGGTGGCAGTCGCTTGACCCAGACTTGAAGTCTAACATGAGGACACTAACGATAGGGTAGGTTGATCCAACGGGTCTAGAAACTTTTGACCTAAGAGCTTGGGTTGATTGGTTAGCAGGAGGCAGAGGGAGGTCAATCCTCGGTGCTGGTGGTAAGTGGATACGGGGCAGATTGCACCGAGGTTGCCGTCATCAAAATTGACAGGGGGTAAGTTGGACATCACCTACTCTATGCACCAACTTTCACAACTCTCAGAATGAAGTCGTTCCAGTTCCGACAACGAGGTTCAGGCCGGGTTGGGTTGGAATAGATGCCTTCTGGATTTTACCGGGATACTCGGGCGATAGGAGGTTAATACCTATTTTGAAAGTTATGTACTGAGCTCCTGTTTGCGGGTAAAACCTAACTCTGGTCACTTCTAGATATCGCAGAGGCAAGCTACTCACCGCTGAAAGGAGGAGAGAGACAAAAAGTTTTTGAAAGAACAAACGGAAAGATACCACGCAAAAGCGGGGGTGGAGGCAGGGGTACGCTTAGGCCGGCGCTAAGCGCTCTGTCCTAGCGCTACCGGGTCGCGAGTGACCCACGGTCAACCGACACGCTACCAACGAGATAGCGCCTCGGTAATTCCCGAGACTTTCCCTGGAAGGTAGGGCAAAGTGGCGATGGCGAGAACAGGAGTCTAACCAGATCACCCAATCGGGTAGACCGCACCCTCGTCCTGCACAGAAGCATGTAGAAGAACGAAGGCAATGGAATAACGAGTAAGGAAGAAGGAAGAAGACCGAAACAACAGGATAGAAGACAGAAGGCGAAATAGATCCCGGAATAGGCTCGGCATAATCGGAGTAGGAGTAGAGTCAAAATGGAAGCGAGGGACGAAGTCATGAACGCAGTGGATAGAATAGCGAGATCACCCCCAGTTGGGCCAGGAGAAGAGCACGACTACTGGGAAGATGAAGATCGAATCAGAGACTTGCTGGAGCTGTGCTTCAACGATGGAGTCTACCCGACGGATTTCGACCCTGGAAAAATGACGGTGGAGGGAAGAGAAGTTAGATTCAAGTTGAACGGTGTCTACCCGACGGATTTCGACCCTTGATGAAATCAAGGTAAAATGGCTCAAGGAAAGGACGGTGTCAGTCATATTCAGAGATAATGCACAATTCCTGCCTAAGAAGGTGAAGGAGGACAAGATGAAAAGGGATCGCAGACTTTATGATTAATGAGGGTGGAGTGGAAATACCGGTAGAAACAGACGAGTATAACGTTATATTTAAACCCTGGATGACTAGGGCAGAGTTCAAGGAGTTGCGAAGACAAGAAGAGGAGAACACTTTCTGGGTGATAGCGGTCCAGATCCCGCTAGATGACATGCCGTTCATTTATCCTCAGATTGAGAAGGCCATTGGCCCCATCGTGCTTGCCCACCCTCCGGATGCAGATCCATCGAGACCAGCACTGGTTAACGCCAAGTTGGACATAGACCCTGCAGCTAGAGGAAACATGAAAGACAAGTTGTGGATCAGCATGTGCAAAGGGGACGAACTCGAAGTCAAACTAGCATGCTCCACAACACTTAAGTGCAGAAACTGCCGGCAGTTCTTTCATTCAGAGGATGAGTGCAAGCAAAAAGAGGGCCGAAGGAGCGCAAGAGGAGGAAACGGGGAATCTGTGCAGCAGAAGCAAGCGGGAGGAAACCAGAGGCAGCGAAGACAATCGTATAACGGCCCACTCAGACCGCAAAACTCTCAAGTCCTGGGCGGCGGAACCGGCACAAGCCAACCAAGTCATCAGGCGGTGAGAAACAACCCTGTTTACTCACCAGGAGGGCTAGGCGTTCAAGGATTAGAAGGGGGACTGCAACAGATGGGGGCAGCGGCGTTCGGGATGCCGACTCAAGGGATGGGATTCCAACCTTATACAGGCCAATGAAATTCGTCGAACCCTCCAATGAGTCTCCAAGGGACACACTGCGGCACGTTCAACGTCCCACAAGGATTCAGTCACATCCAAGGTCAGCGCCAAGGTGGCTTTGGATATGGCGGAGGAGGATTGGGCTACCCGCCGGCATTCGTAGGTACAGGAGGCGGTGGACCACCACCATTCCTAGGGGTGGGCGGCGACCACCCGGCAGGGAGCTTCAGAGGAAACGGGGGTCAAGAAGTAAGACCAGGATTTCACACCCCACCGGCATCACCGAATCAGGCTTTAGGAGCAAGTCCGCCCCCGGGACCGATTGGAGACGGAAACGAGGGAGAAGTCACACTGACACCATCGAGAAGCGGCACGGCCCTCGGCGGGAGAAGCAAACCATCGGGTAAACAAAGGAGATTGAGCATGTTCTCGGTGAAAGAACTTTGAACGGAGGTCTCATAGACATCGGTGACCTCCAAGCAAACCGTGAGTCGGGAAATTGGAGCAGTCCAACCAGGGATGAAAACCATGCGCGATCGAAGGCAGAGAGCAACGGAAAGGGGACAAAACGATGGAATGGAGCAAATCTTGGCACCATTAGTGTGCACCATAACAAGAGGCGTTCCCTGGGTAATTACATGGCAGGTGGGCACAACCCCATTTACCCTATTTTTCCAGCCAGTCCAAGAGGTTCCAACACCGAAAAGTATCCAATATGACATGAAGAACCTATACTTGGACTATTTTTCAGCGAGGATCATACCAACAATGCCAATGGGCAGGGTGATCACGGAGGTGGGGGGAACGAAGATTAAGTTCTTCACCCCCCTCATGGACGCTAGGATTCCAGCGGAAAACCTGAACAACTTGGAACGCCTCGGCCTACGACTCGTTCCCCTGTCTGGTTTAGCAAGGGGAGAAAGCAAGAGCTCTGCAAGATTTCTCTAGCACCAGGATTATCAGCGGAGTGCATGGCTGAAGCAAAGAGAACCTTCCCGAAGGACAAGCACCTCGACTCGCAATTCGTTCGCGACATGCTGACACAGCCATGGCAAGCAGCGACATCATTTACCTCGGCCAGAGGATCGAGGCCGACATCAGAGCACATCCAGTCGGCGGTGGGAGGCGACGGTAAGAATGGTTAGACTGAATTTAGCATCGTGGAACGTATGTGGGTTAGGGGACACAACGGGTAAACATAAGAAAGCTAGACTAAAAGCTTGGATTCAAACTCTATAAGCAACTTGTCAGAAATTGATCTAAGATTTCTGGCATTATATTATAGTGGACTCCTTCCTGAGCCTTTGAGGACATTTACCTACGGACAAGCTATCGGTACCTTTATTTTATTTTATTTATGGTAAGTCCTAGGTATTCACCACAAAATCGTATGTCAATAATATGTCTGGAAGAGACTAAATTAAACGAAGAAAAGTTGAGCAAATTGGGGAACTGGTGGGACGGCCCACAGGTATGGTCGCCAGCAGAAGGGACTAAACACAGATTTGGAAAAACCTAACAAAATAAATTGTTAGGTCTGCACGATGTGTATTCAAGATTATGATAGTACGTTTTTCAGGCCTCCTCCAAGAACAAAATTCTACGTGAAGGAAAACAACCGCAAAAAAAAGAATAGAAAATTACTTTTTGAGAACCACTGGAAGTGGCGAGGAGAAAAGCTGTTTTTTTCCAGATAAAATCACTACCTGGTGAAACAACGTATGTTCAAGAACTGAAATATCTCATTTTTTTGTTATCTTAAAAAATCATGTTTATAGTCCTATAAGATGTATAGCATGATGAACGTATCCGGGTTTTTTTCGAACGCTCAGACATGTTTATAAACATATTTTCCCATACCTGAGCGAACATATTATTTTTTACTTGTAATTTTATTTTTTTTCTTATTTTTTTTAATTTTAAACTTGTGTTTGGCTAAGAATTTGAAGATGTCTCCCTGGTAAAAGTTATTTGTATTCCTATTTTAAATAACATATAGTTTTTGCGAAGGGTTTTATTGTTAACGTCAGAGTCACCAGCCCGTATGTACGGAGGTCCCCGGGCAGACCTCCGTACGTACGGGCGTTCGGGGTCCCGTACGGGGTCTGAACCCGACGGCGTTCGGCCCCCGCCAAAAATTGCTTCGGGGCCTAAACATAACTATTTTTTTCTGAATTTTATTTTGTAAGTTCTCAATGACGTCAGATACATGCCTGTAAACTTTCAAGTCATTTGGCTACGCCAAATAAGAATTAAAAATCGCCAAAGATGGCGGTGTCAAAATGTGCTCGCCCACGTATTTTTTCACTTTTTACTTTTTGTTGTCACTTTAGTTCGGGGTCTAAAAAAATTTATTAGTTTTTGAAACTTTTTTAGTGGGTTTTGTATTATGTGAAGTACACATCTGTAAATTTTCAGGTCATTTAACTATGCAAAAAAAAATAAAAAATCGCCAAAGATGGTGGTGTCGAAAACATGCTCGCGCACTCACTAAATTTAATTCTCTTTTTATTTTTATTTATTTTTATTATTAGTATTTATTTTCCGTATTTTATTTTTATTTCAAATTTGGTAAGGAATTCGGCTGTAATGCTTTGCAAATCTTGTTTAATTTATTTTTCTCCATAACATATATTTTTTTCAGAGTTTTTATGATTTTTTTTTTTTATTTTTTTTTTTTTTTNCCGCGTTCAGCCCGAACGGTCGAACGCATCCCCAAGGAGTCCCATATGTTCGGGCGTTCGGGTTCGGGCGTTCGTCCCGTCCCGAACGTCGGTTACCCCGGTTAACGTCAAAATTGATTTATAGTCCTATAAATTAGTTTTCGCAGATCTCGGTTTTTACCTAACTGCTGAAAATGACTTATAGTTTTATAAAGGAGTATTCACCAAAATCCATTTTTTTTTACATCTTTCAAGTTTGCCTTCTAGTCTTTAAAAATTGTCCTATGAGCTTTGCTTTTGTAAATCTACTGAGAATGACTTATAGCCATATAAGAGGATTTTGCAAGAAAGGGTTTTCTTTCATATTTTAAGGAACAGTTGACTTTTCACCTCGTTTTTTGCCTCCTCTATCAAAAACAGTTAAAAACGTTATCTTTTGTGTAAAAAATAATAGTTTAACTTTTACTTTTCCATTCTATAAAAAATGTGAGGTTTTATCGTTTTGTTAGGTTTTCACGAATCCAGTGTGGGGGCGTGGCAATTCTCATTCATAGAGATTTGGAAGCCGGAATTATTGATCATTACGTCGATCTATGGGGAAGATGAGCCTGGGTGAAGCTAGGGTTTGAGGAAGAAGATTGGACAACTTGAATAGCAACTATTTATGCTCCCGTAACACGGAAGGAGAGGAATGAGTTTCTGAGAGATCTTCTCTATATGCTACTGGATGTAGATAATCTAGTTCTAATAGGCAACTGGAATCAAACATTGGATGATAACAGAGAGATAGGCGGGAAAAAATCAGGGAGGGCCTCCCTACGTGTCACAGATCTCATGACCGACCTCTCGTTATGCGACCCATTCAATCTGATGAACCCTCTGGAGAGTGGCCACACGTGGACCTCCCATCAGGGCAAAGGAAGACGACTAGATTATTTGTTGACCAA